GCATACGCTTAGGTTCTTACAAAGCTTGCTCAAAAAATTCTGTGCTGGGTCCGGCCGCACCTTGAATCTCTAAAGCTAGCGGTTAAAAAAGAAATCCATCATCTACAAGATCTTTATGCTTGTCATTTTTTCGCTCTTCCGCTTCAGCGGCAGCCGTACCAGGGTTACAAACAGACCCGGCATTAATCCTACAAGGAGCTAAGGAGTCTACCACCGTTACATCCCACAAGAGCTGCCCATGGAACGAGCGTCAAACCGTCTGGTCGCTTCTGATCGGCCCTGTAGAGGTTTCGTCGTTCTAAAACAGACGGAATGTGAGTAGAAGACAAATTCTGCTTTATAAGGGCATTCAGGTTTGAATGCCTAAAGAATCTCCCTGCACTTTTGAGGCAAGAAAGACCATGCCAGCCATCCTCGGTAACGTCTTTTCACACGCATTTATGCCGTTTGCATATTTTTGAGCCTAATTGAAGTCCTATCGCAATTCTGAGTTGTTGATTTGACAGTTTTAACTTTAAATTTTTGCACGGGATGACGTTCAACCATTGGGAGTCAAGTCTATCTTGGAACGCGTTGATTCTTTTTATGTCCGTTGGTTCGAGTCGTAAAATCAAGTCTGCAATTTCGCTGCCAAAAACTGGCTCATTCCAATTGGCTCATTCCAAAATTGGCTCATTCCAAATTGGCTCATTCCACATGCTTCAAACCAACGATTTTGCTCAAGGCATTTTTTGCTCTTACTGCTGAGGCTAAGAAAGCGGTTAAAAGGTGTAGACGAGCGGAAGAAACGCCCAAGCCAACTTTGGCTGCCGAGAGAATTGCTTGTAAAAATTGGTTATCATCCGTTTTCACATAAGTGACTCTGCACAACGAATTTCTTAGTAATTTGTCGTTGTGTTCCAAAAAATCATTTTGCAAAAAACAAGGGCTCGTACGCAAAAAGTATAGGAGTTTTGGCATGCTAAAGCAATTATGAATGGTCGTTGAATTAAATGAATTAAAAACCATAATGGGCGTCTAGTTTGTCAATGACATCCGATGTTTTTTCGAGCTCTTTAATTTTTTCGTCGAGCAGTTCTTTGCGGCAAAACTCGCCGATTGGAGATCCTAAAATGAGGAGTTTGACTTTTGTTTTTATTTTTATTTTGGGGCATAATTTTTGAAATTGTGTTAAAAATGAATTATACTGTGTACTCGTAGTCGGTCCCAAAAAACGAAGTTCGCACTTCTCAGTGTTCAAGCTCAGGCCATAAATTTGTTCCAATTTCAGAATGTTTTTAGGGTCCCGGAGTACTACCTTATAGTCAGCGCATAAATTTCCGTCATCTAAATACCAGATGCTAATTTTCGACTCCAACTGTTTGACTAATGTCTGAATTGTTTCCACAAAAAGGAATGGGTCTTCAGGATCACCTTGTTGAGTTCCCTCTTCTGACATTATGACAGAGCTTCCGTAAAAAAGGAAACTAGGTTTACTATACGCACAATGGATGTAATTATACGATTCGCGGCAATTTGAATAAACATGATTCAGCATTTTTTCTCTATTTAGAGAGTTAAAGGCATTCTAAGAATCTAGTTTTAAAAAAACAGTGCATTTTGGATTGTCTTCGCGTTCGGTTTGATTTCGAAACAAAGGTGCAGCTATTTTTGCTCCTCGTTTGGTACCGCATCCTACCTGTACGTTTCCGAAAAAATTTTGTCGCTCGGAGAAGGCCTTGCTTCCAGCGCATTTAGACGCAATACGTCTCAGCGTGTTCCCTATGGCAATCGATCTCAACCCTCCGTCTTTATGAGGGCGATAAGCTTTGCGATAAGCTATCTAAATTTTTTGGATTTGGAGCTGCAAGTTTGGCTCTCTGAGGGTGCTTAGACAACAAATTTTGATAGTTATTAGTTGAAAACGGAGCAATTTTGTCACCCGAAGCAGCAAGCCTTATTCTTCCCTTTACATTTCCTTCATCGAGCTTACCACATATTAGCTTTATTCTTTGCTCGAGGTCACTCAGCTCGAGGTTACTCTGCTCGAGGTCACTCTGCTCGAGGTCACTCAGCGCGGGCTTGAAATTTGGGGATTGGGTTTTGAAAGTGACACGTCATTGCTCGAATTTTTTTATTTATCAAAGAGCTCATGCTTGTGGTCTGTTTGCGTCCACTTCTTTTCGGTTGCTCCAAGAAAACCAAAACCACCTAAAAAAAGTGAGCCATTTTGTAACATCTTCTATATTGTAGACGATGTCATTTATTTTGTCCGACAGACTTTCCGCCAAGGTAACACGCGAGTCTTTTGGTACTCTCTTGAGTACTCGGACATTTGAGATGGCTGTATTAACATAATTGTCTAGCACTGAATCATTACCTTTTGTTGCTTTATTAACAGATTTTATATCAACGCATAAAGGACACTGAAGCCATTGAATTTTATTAGAGCCGCTAAAAGAAAAATTTACACAACTGATATGATACCAACTAGAACAACAATCACCTCCAATCCAATTTATCAATCCTGACGGTTTTAGGCAATCTTTGCTTGTACACTCTTTGTTGTTTTTCCTCACATTGACGCAGCATAAATTTTAAAAAAAAGGATTTTGTCTGGACTTCAAGGGACTGAACTAACCCATGATAAACGGTTAGAGGGAATTTTATAAATCAGCAAATAAAAAAAAATAAAAGACAATTAAATTAATTTAAATTTTGAAATCGAAATCCAAAAACAAAACAAGGAACAATCTCACCCGATCTCAGTAGAATCAGCGGTGCACGACCAGACTCTTCAAGCCAGTTCCAGTTTCCCACCTCCGCACAGAAAGTCACTTGACAGACCTGTCTCTAAAACCCCTCAGAGCGCGCTCCACAAACATGCACAAACATCAAATATACCAAATCTATTTAATAAGTTTATCACAAAAATTAGAACAGTTCGTTAGAAGGTCCTTGAACTGTTCAGAAGTTGTGAAGTTGTGACATCCAGATCAATCTGACTTTTTTAGCCTAATTGTTGTGATAAACTTATTAAATAGATTTGTAATGACTGATGTTTGTGCCTGTTTGTGGAACGCCCTCTGAGGGATTTTAGAGACAGGTCTGTCAAGTGGCTTTTTGTGGGGAGGTGGGAAACTGGAACTGGCTTGAAGAGTCTGGTGGTGCACCGCTGGACCTACTGAGCTCTGGTGAGAGTGTTCCTTGTTTTTGATTTTTGTAATTGGATTGAAAAGTTTAAATTAATTTAATTGCCTTTCATTTTTTTTGTTTGCTGATTTATAAAATTCCCACTAACCGCTTATGATGAGTTAGTTCAGTCCCCTAAAGTCCAGTCAAAATCCTTTTTTTTCACCTTTATGCTCAGTCAAGATGAGGAAAAACAACAAAGAGTGTACAAGCAAAGATTGCTTAAAACCTTCAGGATTGGTAAATTGGATTGGATATGATTCTTGTTCTAGTTGGTATCATATCAGTTGTGTAAATATTTCTCTTAGCGACTCTAGGAAAACCCAATGGTTTCAGTGTCCTTTATGAGTTGATGTAAAATCTGTTAATAAAGCAACAATAGGTAATGATTCAGTGCTAGACAATTATGTTAATACAGCCATCTCAAATGTCCGAGTACTCAAGAGAGTACCAAAAAACTCGCGTGTTCCCTTGGCGGAAAGTCTGTCGGACAAAATAAATGACATCGTCTACAATGTAGAAGAGGTTACAAAATGGCTAATTCTCTTAACGTCGTTCTTTTTTTTTGGAGCAACCGAAAAGAAGTGGCCGCAAACAGACCAAATTTCCATCATCTAAACACCAGATGCTAATTTTCGACTCCAACTGTTTGACTAATGTCTGAATTGTTTCCGCAAAAGGGGTGGGGCTTCAGGATCTCCTTGCTGAATTCCGTCTTCTGACTTTATGACAGGGCTTCCGTAAAACAGGAAAACAGTTTTACTATGCGCGCAATGGGTGCAATTATACAATTCGCGGCGATTTGAATAAACATGATTCAGCATTTTTTCTCTATTAAGAGAGTTAAAGACATTCCTAAAATCTAGTTTTAAAATAACAGTGCATTTTGGATTGTCGTTGCGCTGGGTTCGATTTCGAAACGAGTGTGCAGCAATTTCTGCTCCTCGTTTGGTACCGCATCTTACCTGTAAATTTTCCGAAAAATTTTTGTCGCTCGGAGAAGGCCTTGATTCCAGCGCATTTAGACGCGATACGTCTCAGCGTGTTCCCTATGGCAATCGATCTCAACCCTCTGTCTATCTTTATAACGTCGATAAGCCGAAGAAGAAAAGTCTTAGGGGTTCGGGTATTTTGCCATCTCCAATGAAGTTTATCAGCTTAGCAAGAGATTTCAGAAAATTAAGTCCTGCATTGCCATTCGACTTAATAACAAGATCTTTAAGAATTCGTTTATAAAAGACACTGAAGCCATTGGGTTTTCTTAGAGTCTCTAAAAGAAATATTTACACAACTGATATGATACCAACTAGAACAACAATCACCTCCAATCCAATTTATCAATCATGACGGTTTTAGGCAATCTTTGCTTGTACACTCTTTGTTGTTTTTCCTCACATTGACGCAGCATAAATTTTAAAAAAAAAGGATTTTGTCTGGACTTCAAGGGACTGAACTAACCCATGATAAACGGTTAGAGGGAATTTTATAAATCAGCAAATAAAAAAAATAAAAGACAATTAAATTAATTTAAATTTTGAAATCGAAATCCAAAAACAAAACAAGGAACAATCTCACCCGATCTCAGTAGAATCAGCGGTGCACGACCAGACTCTTCAAGCCAGTTCCAGTTTCCCACCTCCGCACAGAAAGTCACTTGACAGACCTGTCTCTAAAACCCCTCAGAGCGCGCTCCACAAACATGCACAAACATCAAATATACCAAATCTATTTAATAAGTTTATCACAAAAATTAGAACAGTTCGTTAGAAGGTCCTTGAACTGTTCAGAAGTTGTGACATCCAGATCAATCTGATTTTTTTAGCCTAATTGTTGTGATAAACTTATTAAATAGATTTGTTATGAGTGATGCTTGTGCCTGTTTGTGGAACGCCCTCTGAGGGATTTTAGAGACAGGTCTGTCAAGTGGCTTTCTGTGGGGAGGTTGAAGAGTCTGGTGGTGCACCGCTGGACCTACTGAGCTCGGGTGAGATTTCTCCTTGTTTTTGATTTTTGTAATTCGATTTTAAAATTTAAATTAATTTAATTGCCTTTTACTTTTTTTGTTTGCTGATTTATAAAATTCCCTCTAACCGCTTATCATGGGTTAGTTCAGTCCCTTGAAGTCCAGAAAAAATCCTTTTTTTTTAAAATTTATGCTGCGTCAATGTGAGGAAAAACAACAAAGAGTGTACTAGCAAAGATTGCTTAACAACTTCAGGATTGATAAATTGGATTGGATCTGATTGTTGTTCTAGTTGGTATCATATCGGTTGTGTAAATATTTCTCTTAGCGACTCTAAGAGAATCCAATGGTTTCAGTGTCCTTTATGTGTTGATGTAAAATCTGTTAATAAAGCAACAATAGGTAGTGATTTAGTGCTAGACAATTATGTTAATACAGCCATCTCAAATGTCCGAGTACTCAAGAGAGTACCAAAAAACTCGCGTGTTCCCTTGGCGGAAAGTCTGTCGGACGAAATAAATGACATCGTCTACAATGTAGAAGAGGTTACAAAATGGCTAATTCTCTTAACGTCGTTCTTTTTTTTTGGAGCAACCGAAAAGAAGTGGCCTCAAACAGACCAAAAGCATGAGCTCTTTGATAAATAAAAAAAATTCGAGCAAATGACGTGTCACTTCCAAAACCCCATCCTCAAGTTTCAAGCCCACCTCTGAGTGATTTCGAGCAGAGAAAAAAGTTAATAAGTAGTGAGCTCGTTGAAGAGAATGTAAAGGGAGGAATAAGGCTTGCTGCTTCGGATGACAAAATTGCCCCTTTTTCAACTGATAACTATCAAAAATTGTTGTCTAAGCACCCTCAGCGAGCCAAATTTGCAGCTCCAAATCCAAAAAATTTAGATAGTTTTTTCGTAACCGATTTCGACCTATACAAAGCGATAATGTCCTTTCCGAACGGATCAGCAGCAGGTCCTGATAAAAAAGTTCCTCAAATTTTTAAAGATCTTGTTAGTAAGTCGAATGGCAATGCAGGATTTTATTTTCTGAAATCGCTTACTAAGCTGATAAACCTCATTAGAGATGGCAAAATACCCGAACCCCTAAGACCTTTATTTTTTGGCGCAAAGCTTATCGCCCTCATAAAGATAGACCAAGGGTTGAGACCGATTGCCATAGGCAACACGCTGAGACGTATCGCGTCTAAATGCGCTGGAAGCAAGGCCCTCTCCGAGCGACAAAATTTTTTCGGAAAGGTACAGGTAGGATGCGGTACCAAACGAGGAGCAGAAATAGCGGCACACTCGTTTCGAAACCTAATTGAACGCCAAGACAATCCAAAATGCACTGTTTTTTTAAAACTAGATTCTTAGAATGCCTTTAACTCTCTAAATAGAGAAAAAATGCTGAATCATGTTTATTCAAACTGCCGCGAATCGTATAATTACATCCATTGTGCGTATAGTAAACCTAGTTTCCTTTTTTACGGAAGCTCTGTCATAATGTCAGAAGAGGGAACTCAACAAGGTGATCCTGAAGCCCCATTCCTTTTTGTGGAAACAATTCAGACACTAGTCAAACAGATGGAGTCGAAAATTTACATCTGGTATTTAGATGATGGAAATTTAGCCGACGACTATAAAGTAGTACTCCGGGACCTTAAAAACATTCTGAAATCGCAACAAATGTACGGCTTGAATTTGAACACTGAGAAGTGTGAACTGTGTTTTTTGGGACCGACTACGAGTACACTTCAAGTTATAATTCAATTTTAACACAATTTCGAAAACTATGCTCCAAAACAAAAATAAAAACAAAAAAAGAACTCCTCACTTTAGGATCTCCAATCAGCGAACTTTGCCGAAATGAATTGCTCGACGAAAAAAGTAAGGAGCTTGAAAAAATCTCGGATATTGAAATGGCTCCGGAACATGAAATCCAAAAAAAATGGACAGCCAATTTTTGACAGCGAAATTGCAGACTTGATTTCACGATTCGAGCCAACGGACATAAAATATTCAACGCGTTCCGAGATGGATTTGGCTCCCAGTGACTAAACGTCATCCAGTGCAAAAATTTAAGGTTAAAACTGTCGAACCAACAACTCAGAATTGTAACATTCGCCCGGAAGATACATATCGACGGATAACAAAACTAAGTCTTAAGACGACTGGCTAGTGTCTAAACAGAGCTTTGCATGTTTTTCACCGTCTCTACCAAGCCAGTACTTTTCGGTGGTCTTTTCCAACATCGGGTCGACAAAAACGTTACTGCTCTCCGGCTTCGACCAGAACGCTCAAATTAACTGAATTACATGCAAAAAAATAGTGAGCTCATGGCTGGGTCCCAGTATCCCCAGACCACGAGGTCACTCCTAAAAACAGGGCTACTACTTATTATATTACTATTGTTTTTGTTCAGTAGATAAAAATCATCATCTCCATCGAAGATGGATCAACCCTTTCCCCCCAACTCTTAGCACCTCATCCTTGTCAAAACTAATCCAAATATCAATTAAATTCAAGTCAGGACATGACAGGATGCTAAAAGTTCACACGAGTCAATAAAAGTTTCCGTCCCGAGACCCTTCCGGATTCTTGAATCCGCTGAATCAAGCTCCTTACTCTTGATTTCTTGCTAATCCGGAAGGCTGGCTTCTTACCCTTCACCGTTGTTCGCAACGGCCTTGCAACTATTGTAGCAGCACAATAGTTGCAACTCGGAACGTTCTCTGCTATTCTGTAGTTCGTTGTCGTTTTTTAATCTCGATTTTTGTCCTGTTCACAATCGCAGATAAAGTTGTTCTGTTTTTCTTAGTTCTTTTTGCTAAAATGGCCGTTTCTGACGTTTCTCAGAAATGTTACGTCATCACTTCGAAAAATTAAAATTTTAAAATACGGGAATATCCTGACCTTCACCGTTCTGCCAATCATCCGAATAACGTCGTTAATCCTTCGAAATCATCAACTCGGAAGGCCTACTGCTAAAAATTCGAAGTCTGCATAAATTGCATTTTGGCCATTCTGGTCGAATGTCACATACTCCCCGGACAGTCCGGTCAATGTCCTCATTGAATCGCACTATGTTCGTAAAATGGTTACAGTGTCATCGAACAGAATTTACAAAATGCACGAAATTACCTTTATCTACGTCACATCGACACACTGCAGAATATAAATGGCATCATACTACATCACTATAGCCTTCAAATTCTCTCATTAATCTGCACTCTGAGGATATGACTTAAGATAAAACATATTTTCTGACTTCCAGTGTCAATGTCCCGATTAAAGCTTTTTCTCCTAGATTTAAAAGGTGTTGGCTTGCAGGACAGTCCTGCCAACCAACAAGCTAAAATTATCCTACGATGTTCCTTCCCTTCGGAAATCTTGCTTGTTTATTGTCCTGAATATTAAAACCAAGAAACCTTGTGGTTAGAAAGAACAATGCAACAACCTCCCTCCTCAAGAAGTTACTCAAGTTTTTCATGTCACCACAAAGTGATCAGTCTTCCTAAGTGATTAAAAACAATCATGCAGGCTGGAATATTTAAATATACTCTTCCCTCAAGCCTTTCTAAATAAATAATAAGTGAGTGTCTCTAAAGCCACTTCAACTAAAACCAAAATGCAAATTTATAAATGCAACAATTTCAAAACTCAACAAAATGTTTCAGTTTTCAATTACAACTTGGTTGCTTGGTTTCTCACTTGAGTTTTTCACACACATAAAACAATTCTGAGTTTTGAATTTTCTTCATCATTCCTTTGTTCTCTTCTTTTTTCGTCGTTTAGAAGTTCTAAAACTTCTAAATTCTTCTAATTTCCTTTCTTGCCGCCTCTTGTTTTCTCGACCATTCGTCAATGCTCCATTTCCTCCTCCTGTGACACTGACTCCGCACTTTCGGTTTCCGTGTCTTGTAGCACGTCATTGACTATCCTGACGCTGTTGGAAGCCGTCCTTCAACACTTCTGCTCTTCCACCCTCTGTTTACAGCAAGGTAGGGGATCCACGTTTGATTCTCTGTTTCTACAGAAGCTGTTGTGGAGACACAACGTCACGTTTCTCTCCAAATCTTCTTTCAGCATCTCTGCCTTCTCATTTCCACTACGCTCGCTCGTCCTGGAAATTCTTTTCACAGCGGTGGTCACTGCATTCCGATGGGTCACGAAAGCTCGCTTGAAAGCTCCTGCCCCAATGTCCAGCTGATATTCACTGTATACTCTGCCATGTTTCGACATATGCTTTTTCGCATACTCGTACAACCATGCAGTCATGTTAGCTCTGAACCATGGCATCAATCGTTTTCTTGCCCATATCTTCTTCACTTCCATCGGAATGTTTAGAACTTTGCACATTGTCTCAAAAAGATCTAAATCTTTCAGACAATCTAATTTCCGCAATTGTTCTCTCGTTGGTGCCTCCTTCCTGATGCTGTCAGGCTTCTTGCGTTCATTGGCACCGTGCAAACGGTCAGTACCGCGCAACTGAACTTCTGCCAGAGAGTAGTGAACAAACACACCATCATTGATTCCCACAGTGCTTCCTGCTCATCTGATCCTCTGGAGATATCATTCGTCCCAACTAAGATCATCACATTGGGTATCTTCCCTGGATTCATCAGCTCCACCATGCGATATAATTGGGCAATCGTCGCGCCTCCAAAGGCCATCATCGTGGTGACCCATGAGGTCCTCAAATTCGACAGCACTCTGACTAAGCTGTCTCCCAATATCAGGTGAGATGTCCCGAGTGGTGGTTGCTGCAGGTTCACAGCCGGGCTCCAGGTAGCTCGATTGAAGCAGGCTCTCGGATCTGTCTCCGGAACTCCCGTGAAATTATACTTCAATTGATTATTCTTCTGCACGTCTATTACACGAGACACTTTCTTCGCTGG